TATGTATGTATGTATGTATGTATGTATGTATGTATGTATGTATGCATAGGCCCTATAACCTCACATTTATTTTCCAACAGGTGGGTCCTTCAACCCCTGAGGAAGGCTGGCAGGTGTACAGTTCAGCTCAGGACTCTGAAGGTCGATGTGTTTGTACAGTTGTCGCTCCTCAGCAGACGGTTTGCTCCAGAGATGCTCGAACTAAACAGCTGCGACAGCTGTTGGAGAAGGTAAAAACCCTACTTCACAAGTCAACATGTGACTTTTCAGTCACTTTATGAGTTAAAAGCTTTGGTTATCTGACAATTTTCTAAACACATTGCATGATGTTTAAAATCAGATTCATCTGCAGGAGACCTAAGCTTCAACTTAGGGCCTGTTGGATGAATTACGTCTTGTGTATGATTTTGAACCCCAGAGCTGAAGCTCGTTGATCCCCACTTTGTGACTTTTATGAAAACATAGTTTAAAATGTGACCTTTAAGATTACTATCAGCTCTTTCTAAAGCTTTTCTGGGTGTATGATTGACACCACAATGAAACTTGGTTCCACTCACATGTGATGACATATGATGTTATTATTACCTGCCGTCCAGGTGCAGAATATGAGTCAGTCAATTGAGGTTCTGGATCAGCGGACTCAGAGAGATATGCAGTTTGTGGAGAAGATGGAGGTTCAACTCAAGGGCCTTGAAAATAAATTCAAACAGGTGGAAGATGGACATGAAACCAACATTGCCAGACAGTACAAGGTACCAGCAGTGTGGTGATGACAGGTCACTTACAAGCTAACTCAAGTTTCTTTTTATCTATTTCTGCAGACTTTAAAGTCCAGTACCCATAAATACCTCTTGGTTGAGATTGTACTCAAAGTAAATGTTTTTAGTAATGTTACCAATGAAAACTTTATAAAAGACAAGAGATAAAGCTTGAATCATCATGAATGTGAAGACAATGTTTAAAAATGTCTGACTTTTATATTTCCTTTTTCTGTATCTTTTTGTCATCCCTCAGTCTATCAAAGCAAAAATGGAGGAGTTGCGTCCTCTTATACCAGTTCTGGAGGCTTACAAGGCAGATGCTCTGCTGGTCCAACAGTTTAAAGAGGAAGCATCAAATGTTACAGAGCTGCTGGGATCTTTGCAGGAACAAATGGGAGGACTGGACTACCAAGAGCTTCACAGTCGGGTGGTGAACCTGGAGGACCGTCTGCGGGCCTGCATGCAGAGGCTCGGTGAGTAAACCAGAGATACGACAGTTAACCGTCTCTTACACACAAACCAGACACTAGGGAGCAGAAGCCAGTGTATCTTTTGTGCTGGTAAATGGTAAGAGTTGTGACAGGAAGGGCAACGGGTGTAAACAAATGGCCAAACCTTTCATGTAAGTTTGCTCACTGTGGTGACTCCTGAAGAAGTGAGCAGCTGAAAGAAACACACATGGAAGTAGTTCTAGCAGGAGCTGGTGAGTGGGGGGTGCTGAACACTCAAAGCAGTTCCCCTTTTGGCTGATCACCTTATTCCCTACATGAGGCTGAGTTGGACGATAAATCTTTGTTGGACCGTTGATTATGACTCTGTACATCACCCTTTTTTTTTAAATTGGTACCAGCAAACTTCTCTTCCAATTCTCTGGGATTTTCTCACTCTCAGAAATGTTTTTTGAATACTAGAGTTAAAAATCTCTCTGCCGTCTCTCTTAAACATTTCCATACATTTCCGCTGGTATGTCATCAGTTCCAACTGCCTTGCCCTGTGCTATCCTCTTCTGAGCCTTCCGAACTTCACCCTCACTAATCTTTTGCACTTCCTGGTCCACCAGGAATGACCTCTCTTCTTTCCATTTCATTCTTTTCATTCATTAACACCTCAAAGTCCTACTTCCATCTTCCCATCATACATCATATTTGAACACTGTTTCTATCTTTGACAAATCTAACGTGCTGCACATCCTTTCCAGCCTGATCCCTCAGTCCTACTAAATGAGACAGGTCCTTCACTCTATCTTTATTGTCCAGTCTCTTGTACAACTCATGCTCATCATCAGACTCAGTGGTTAGCACTGTTGCCTCACAGCAAGATGGTCCTGGGTCCAATCCCCGGTTGGGCCTGGGGTTTTTCAATGTGGAGTTTGCATGTTCTTCTTGTGCTTGCGTGGGTTTTCTCCAGATACTCTGGTTTCCTCCCACAGATCAAAAACATGCATGTTAGGTTGCCTGCAGGCCCAGGCCTCCCTTGCAAAAGAGATCTTTGATATAAATAAATCATAGGTCATCTACTTTGCCTCAGCTCCCTCCCTCTTTGCCATATACTGCATCTCCTGATGTCTCCTCTCTTCAGTCTTCTCACTGTCATTTTTCTTCTTGGCTAATCTGTTTCTTTGAATAGTGCCCTGCACTTCACTATTCCACCACCAGGTTTCCTTGTCATCTTTTGTCCAGATGACACACCAAGTACCTTCCTACCTGTCTCTCTAATTACCGTTGCTGTAGTAGCCTTATATCAAAGCTGTAAAATAAGTCTTGCAGTAAAAAGGCTTTATCTTCTGTAATTAACAATTAATTAGACGACCATTAATTAGAGGACCATTAATTAAGGAGTGTGCCATGTTCCTGCAGCTCATTAGTTTATCTGGCTCAGTGAAAGAAAAAAAAATTATAAAACGGTGCTGTCCAGAGTTAAAATAATAAGAATGATAAAATAAGAATGATATAAAAAAGAAGACAAAACAATTAAAACAAACTGTAAGGATGTTAGTTTTCTGTGGCCCGGTGTGTCTTTCCTCGTGCTCCTCGTTAATTTCCATTGTTGCCACCTGTGTCTCGTCCCAGCTGTTTGTCATCATGTCTCGTCTTCTCCTTGTATTTAAGTCTCCCTATTCTGTCTTGTCCTTTGTCGGGTCGTCTTCGTTGGGTGAGTCTCCTGAGTCTCTCTGTTTTCCTGGTTCCTCGAGTTCCTCGTGTCTCCCGAGTTCCCCGTGCCTCCCTCCTTGTTTATGTAAGTTTTGCTGCCCCGTCAGCATATTTATTTTGTACTTTTTATTTATCATTAAAAACTTATTTTTGTATAACTGCCGAGTTGAGTCCCTGTTCTGCACTCTGGGTTCGCTCCGACCACAAATCCTAACACAAACATCCATGTACGACCACCGAGAGACTTGAGAAAATATGACTGAATATAAGGCTTTCATTTTCAACTACTAGATCTGACGGATCAGGTGGGTCTTCACAAAACTCTTGACTAAAATAAAAAAATACAATTGTCAAAAAATTTGTTTTGGGTGTACTAATTGGGAATTTTATTTATTTATTTATTTCTATCCCATTATCCACATTGATTTTTATTCTTAAACACTTTGGTAAGAGTTGCTGTTTTAAATGTGCTTTATAAATAAAAGTGACTCGACTTGACATTGCAATTTATTTTTTTTAATTTGCCATAAAATATATATTTTGTCGATTAAAAAAATTAAAACTAAATCTCCTCTAAGAGTTAAATAGTTAATTAAATGTCATATTTTTATTTCAGGTTGAGCTAGCTTTCAAATAATGATGTTTATTGTTGAAAAAAGAAAACATTATTATGATGGTATTTTTTAAAAAGTTAATTTTTATCCCTTAAGGAACATGAATAGTTATAAAGTTATACAAAGATTAAGAGAATCCATAATCCTATCCCAAGAGTTTGAAAATAAAAATAACTGGACTTCTATGTTTTGTTTCTCGCCAAAGAGCTTTTAAAAATCAAATTAACGGAGAAATGTTATTTAATAATTAAAGGAGAATGAAGGATTTGCAGTTTTGAAATGTTTGAGAACCTTCTCATCAGAATAAAAGTCCACTTGCTTTGTTCTGAAACTTTTGCCACATCCAGGATGATGAGAATCTCTCAGTTCTTCCACTTCGTGCTCAATATTAGTGAAACATAAACTTGGGACATCAAACTTGATCTAATTGATTCCTCCATGCACTTGTTATATTTACTTCGTTTGCCCAAAGTTCACTTTTGTCTTTCAGCTTGTGGGAAGCTGACGGGGATTTCAGAACCGATCACCATTAAGACTTCTGGGTCCAGATTTGGTTCATGGATGACTGACCCCCTGGCTCCATCTGGAGACAACAGAGTGAGTGTCCTCCCTCCCTTCAACAACACAACATCTTCTGACCACACATCATCATCAGGGTTATGCTGACATTTTATCACTTGTGTTGATTTATGATTTGTGCATTTTCAGTTTTTGATCTTAGTTGCTTTGTGTCAACCTCAACTCTGATAAATTTCACACAAGTCATTCATCCTACAGTCCATTCTGAGGTTTCAGCAGGTCCTTGATGTTCACAGAACTTCAGCCCATTGTTCTGGTCCTCAGTTTGAAGCTTCTTTAGATTTATTAAAAGCCTTCAGGATTCTGGGCTGCAGTTTTGGGTTCTGATTCACCGTATCTGACACTTTCTGTTGACATGAGTTAAATCTGGTTTATTATTCATTAGGACGGTGGTCAAATAATTTTTTTAACCAGATTTCAAATATTTCTGTGCTTCTAGTTTGACAATGTTCATGTTTTAATCCATGTCTCATTGTGGAGCAGACAGAAGCACCAGGGATTCAACTCTTAACTAAGATTTCTGCCTGTACTACACATAGCATGCATCAGGATGTACTACACATAGCATGCAT